GGCAGCCACCGAACGGGGCAATTGCCAATCCTCCTTATCTCGATTTTGGATTCTATTTTTTTTAACGTTTTTTAAGGTTTATTATTATTATTATTATTATTGATTGATTGATTGATTGATTGATTGATTGATTGATTGATTGATTGACGATTATTATTTTCGCGTAACGAGATGTACCGCGTATAAACGAGAGAACGCGTCAATTTTCCGCTCGGGGCGACGTATTCGTAGCCAAATCACGATAACGTTCCTGATACAGGCGAGCGTCCGCGTTGGATTCCGTTCGGATCGTGGGTCGCGGCAACTGTACGCTCACGAAAGGAACGGACTCCTCGATCGGACAATCGCGCGACAAACATTTCCAATGTGTTCGACGATTCCTAGAAGATAACGAACGGGAGAAGAGATTTCGAACGAACCACGAGAGAGGCCCGAATCGAACACACCTATTATTATTACTATTACTATTACTATATTATTATTATTATTATTATTATTAATTATTATTAATTATTATTATTATTAATATTATTATTATAGCGAGTATACTCAAAGAGAGTCGTCCGCGTTAGAACGGCTCGCCCCGAGTCGGATCAAGACCGTCCGGTAAACCGGAGCTCTTCCATAGCAACCATTCTGGTCACACTGGTTCCATATTTTTAAAAGGGCAAAGCCGTGCGCGTGTGGCTCACCGGGGACAACAAAATCACACGACGGAAAGCAATTTCCAAAATTCACGGAAAGCTAACGACTATCACTCGAGTACGATATCGTAACGGGAACGTTCCTCGATCCGGTTCGCGTGCTTCTCGTCGCACCAACTCGACCCGCGCGTACCAGGTTCCTCCGGACCGAGAGATTCAGCATTCGAATTCGCGTCAGCGAACTCAAACCGTAATCCGTTTCGCCTTCTTCTCCCGGGAAAGGCAGCCATTTCGTTATATTCCTTGTCGCTGCAGAAGCAACGAACCAGAGAGGGTACACAGTATTAAGCACCGACACGATCGTTCGTCGTCGATCGAGTCGAGCGGTCTTTTGCTTATCTCTAACGCTTCCTTTTTTTATTCGTTTGAAACTCCAACGAACACGCTCCACTACTACGTATACGTACGTACACGCATACATGTATACATACTCACCCACATACATACACGCGTACTCGCACGTACAATTAATAATACGAATATTCGAAATACCACGTGGTATTCCTACAGCATTGTGATCGACAGACTGCCAGATACACGAACCAGTAGATTCCTATACGATGCATTTAAGTATATACATATATTTATATTATATAACGCGTACGATTAATGCTTTGATTTTCTTAATTAAGCGATCCTCGAGTTAAGATCCCTCGCGATACTTTTGTTCACTGCCGGCGACCGAAGAAGCACGTCGACCAGTCCGATGCGACGACCCGTCTAAAATTTCTGCCGAGCACGCCGACCTAATCTCTCGCGCGCGTCTCCAAAAACCGCTTTTTCTACGAAAACGTTCTTCCACCGTCTTTTCGACAGCTACCGGCTACAGTCTACCGCGCGTCGCTTTCTCGCGCGATCGTCTCGCGCGTTAACAAACCTCGACGCGAATCGAGCCTATTTTTTTCCTACGAAGCTCCGTCGTTGTTCCTGGTTAGACGCTCGATCGCGAAGAACGCGCCGGCGTCGCCGATGTTCCTCGACTAGTTTCTTTGTTCCGATCGAAACCGCGTCCGTGCTCGGCAAGTACCTGGCATCCGGTCCCGTATTCCTACGCCAAATACGCGCGTCACGGCTGCCCGACTTTCCATACTGTAGACAATATTTATGAGACAAGCTAACCTAACTAAACTATACTCGTAATTCATATTGTACACTGTAAGTATGCGCAACGTCTGACGCGAACGAAGCGATAGATTTTATTTCGTTTCCTCACCGAGCGTGCACGCTCCGCGTTTTACCGCGGCCGAGTTCTCGATCGACTCGCGCGCAGCCTCCTCGAGCATTCTTCGCCTCGGAAAAATAGCGAGTGCTCGCGTTCCTCCTTAAAAAAACAAATTAAAAGTAGTCTCGACAAACGTTAATCGTCTCTTGAAACGGAGAGAAGCATCGGCAAAGCGAAGCAGGCCAGGATCGATTCTTCTCCGTACGAGTGCAATAACTAGCCATCCGGATACTTGTCGGATCCGTTCTTTCCGAATATCGATCCCCTTTCTTTGACCGCCTTTGATTCGGTAGCTCGGTCGATCGAGAACTCGTTCGTCGACGCGTATGTACGATAGGTCGCGTGCTAATCGAACAAACGGCTACTAACGATCGAGAATAGCGAGAGACGGGACGACGAAGATCGACTATCGGGTGCCTAAGGGTGGGTGAAAGTGACGGTTGGAGAGGTTGAACGATAGAGAGAAGGTGCGAGGGTGAGAAAGTCGAGAAGTAGGCCGGAGAGCTAAACGGGGTTAGCGAGAAGCGACGATAAGACGGACGAGAGGGAATGTGTGCGTGTGTGCGAGAGAAAGGGAGGAGAGAGAGAGAGAGAGAGAGCGAGCGAGAATTAGCGCTAAACACGTTTATGGATCGACTCGATACATAGTTACTGAGTAATGTTAATCGATAATATTACTGCCTTACGAGGCCTTGATGCGTGACGGCGGTCGACGCACGAACGAGAACGGAGCTGGTTTCGAACGTTCGCGAAACGATATTAGTCGGAGGAAATGCCGAAGAAATGGTCCGAGAGTGAAACGGCAATTTCCATGCGCCGACGGCCAACGACCGACCGCCGTCATCGACGGAGATTACTAGATTATTAGGCACGTAAGATATAATATTAGTTAGATCGTAGGTTTTAACGATTCCTTTCTTTTTTCTTTTTTCTTGAATGTAAACGGAATGGGACGCCTTAGCGTTCGCCGTACGAGAATCCGTACGAGAATCCGTGGTCGGCCAAGCCGGACTAATCGTTTGAAAAATTAAGAGGAGAGAACCGAACTGCTGCGAGCACGAGGCGCGTGAAATCACGAGAGAAAGAGAATGCGTGTGAGCGAAAGAAAGTTTGCGTGAGAGAGAAATTCCGAGGGAAGCGGTGGTCGCGGTAAATCCTCGTCGATAACAGGGGCGAATACGTGATAATCAACGATCGTGATAAAGAACGGTGATAGGTCGTTCGACGCGGACGGATGAAACAAGCTAGTAAGAGAAACGAATCGTTCGAAACAGTTTACAAATTAACGCGAATCGAAAGAGGAATTTCGAAATTTCGCCTTTCTTTTGCCGATTTCCTCTTCGATCTGATCGGTAGTTACATCGTCCGGTATACGCGTAGCCGTTTTAAACGCGTTACGCGAAAGAATCTTTGGGACGATGAAAATTTATTGGTAACGGAAAATCATAGTTTACTCATTTTCTTTCGGGCTGTTAAAAATTGTCGCGCGATCGTCGGTAAGTTTATGTATCGGGTACCACCGTACTCGATAGGATCGTACGCGTCGAAGGACCTCGATTCTCTTTTCATCGTCGCTTTCCCTCTTTTCTCGTTCGTTTTCGGACCGTTAACTCGGTCTTTTCTGATCGGCCGAGATCCTCTTTACCGAGAAGACGACCTAAACGACAACGACGATAATCGACTCGCGAGGACCTTCGAACGCGTGGCCGTCTACGAAATCAGCATACGATTAATTCGTTCTTGTTACATGTGCCTTTGAAACGTTTAGGAAAGAAAAGAACCGGAGAATCTAAAGATTATTACCTGTAGTCGTCGTGACAGTTTTCGCGAGTAAAATCAACGTTGATCATAGTTAACGTCGAAACGGAGAATAAAACGCGGGAAAAGACAAAGAGGGAGGGTCGAAAACGCCGTCGCCGGTTTCACAAACTTTCGAAGAAAACCAGTTTAAAAGAGCGTATATGGGAAGAAACGCGTAGAAAGGTCGCGATTAAAAGGAGGAGAACAAAAGGTATAGAATTTTTCAGATAAGTGGAACGAAAAATATTATATGTATATATATATGTATATATACATATACGTGTATAAATATAAATATATACGGGCGAGTACACGAAGGAATCGTCGTAAAAGGAAAGGATGAAACGGTAGCTTTTTTACGAATTCATTTTTCTACTAATCGTCGTGGCTTATAACCGGGTTTAACTTCGATCTTACGAATTATAATTGGGCTTATTATAATCGATTACTTACATTTTTCTTTCTTTTCTTTTTTTTTTTTTTTTTGTTTTTTTAATTAGGTTTCTCATAATACATTTACGATTGTTGAGGCTGTCGCGACAAAATTGATAGCGTCGCGACAGACGAACGGCGAATTCTTTGGATATTGTTTATCTTGGGTGTCGGTTTGGGATTGGGATAAAACTCTAACCGAAAGCGAATGAAAAAAGCAAAATATGCTATCGCAAAAATCGATGCGTTCGAAGTATCGAGACATAGACGACTCGAGAACAGCGAGGCAAAACGTGATGTCGATAATTTCTTTTTTTTTTATCATTAATATTATTATTACTATTATTATTACTATTATCTTCATTATTATTATTATTATTATTATTATTATTATTATTTCGTTTTTTATCGTTAGACATTTTAAATGACGCGCTGAAACGATGGTTTTTATTTGTCGGGAGAAGGGAAGAAATATTAAAAGGTGTACAAAAAGAAAGATATATATACGCATAAGGCAAAAGAGGAAATTATTTGAAACGAGACACGACGAGGAAATTTCGATCGTATTTCGTTGCTCGCGACGATTTGGAACGGTTGGAACGCGCGCACAGTGTGTGATATTTGAACGGTGAATTTAAAGTTTAAGGTCTCGAGAGAAACTTCGCGTGGTCGCGTTCAACGTTTTATTGAAAATTTAACGAGATTTTTGCGATGTTGCGAAATTTTATTATCATTTTGTTTATCATGAAAAAAGATCTATTTATTAAGAAATTGTTTAGCGCTTCGACGCAAAGATATTTGTCGATTATAAATATATACATATATATATATTTATTATTAAGAGATGGGAAAAAGGAAAGGAAAAAATGACAAGAAAAGATATTATGTTATATCATTTTTTTTTTTATCGCTTTTTGCCCCGAGGCTTAAGCTTTATCGGGCTCGTGCGGTTTCTCGGAAGACCGATATTTTTCTTTTATTTCGCGGCACATACTTTCGAACGAAAGGTAATTTAAAGACGAGGGTAAATGGAAAACGCGATTCCGGCGAGGATTAGTTATACGATAGCGGGTAGAATACGTAGGGCAATTTGCGAAAAAAAGTATGACAGACATATGCCATCCAGGAATTTAGAAAGTACACATCGCTTTATTTTTTCTATAACGTTCTATATTTCTATTATATATCGTATATCAAATGGAAGAATTTGAGGAAAAGAAAAATGAAAAATTATTGAAAAAAAAAACAAAGAACGATTCGATTGCAGAGCATTCGCGTTTTATAGAATATAATTAGGCGACGATAAAGCGACGGAACAAAAGAGCGAAAGAAACAGGATTTTTGAAGGGAGAAAAGATGATCGAGTGATCGTCGAAGGATCTAACGAATGATCGCGTCTCGAATTAATCGAAAACTTCGACTTTCGCGTTTGCTTGTGCTGTAAATACGTGTCTCGATCGGTAAACATAACGGTTTTCGGCCACGCTGTGTATCTATTTTTCAAAAAGTCAGATTGTTTTCGCCACGAGTGACGTATGCTAATCGTTTGGTGAGAAGAGTGTTTTTCAGCGTGAACGAGAACGAATGGGTAAAAAGAAAGGCAGCCTTTGGTTGTACGAAACGTCGCGTTCTATCGTAGAAAATTTGAAGAAAATGGAAAAGAGAAAGTCGTTTGGTAGCTTTCGACGAAAAAAAAAAGAGAAAAAATAAAAAAATAAAACGAGACAAATCGATCACGAGGAGAAGGCCCGTGGCCCTCGAGAAACAAACAATCGAAACAACCCGTTGGCGTATCGGGGATTTTAGCTTTTAAGAGGATAGATAAAAAAAGAAATTTATATAGAAGATACTTATAGACAGGCAACGTCGAAAACTTGCTACAACTCGGAACACCGCGAACGCTCGCGAACGGAGAAGCCGGCGAAACGAGTCGCGTAACAACGTTCTGTGTGACAGAAGATCTCGTATCGCTGGCTCTCGTCTAAAAGAGAATTATCCGTATCTTTGTATTTAGGATTATTTCGCGTCGCGACGATTCCAAGTTAATCTTTATCGTCGATCGTCCAGTGTTTTCCGAGTCTAATTAAACGAACGCTCCGTGAATCTGATTCGGCTCTCGAGTTTGAAAAACTAATCCGATGGAACGCGAATGCGAAGCGAGGAGAAAGAACGAATCAAAGTATTTTCTATCGAAGAGAAGAACAGAATGCGTGCGTGGCCGCGTGGGTATGAGTGTATGAAAAGTAAGAGTACGAGAGTAAGAGAAATATAGAGAGAGAGAGAGAGAGAGAGAGAGAGAGAGAGAGAGAGAGAGAGAGAGAGAGAGAGAGAGAGAGAGAGAGAGAGAGAGAGAGAGAGAGAGAGAGAGAGAGAGAGAGAGAGAGAGAGAGAGAGAGAGAGAGAGAGAGAGAGAGAGAGAGAGAGAGAGAGAGAGAGAGAGAGAGAGAGAGAGAGAGAGAGAGAGAGAGAGAGAGAGAGAGAGAGAGAGAGAGAGAGAGAGAGAGAGAGAGAGAGAGAGAGAGAGAGAGAGAGAGAGAGAGAGAGAGAGAGAGAGAGAGAGAGAGAGAGAGAGAGAGAGAGAGAGAGAGAGAGAGAGAGAGAGAGAGAGAGAGAGAGAGAGAGAGAGAGAGAGAGAGAGAGAGAGAGAGAGAGAGAGAGAGAGAGAAATATATATAGAGAGAGAGAGAGAGAGAGAGAGAGAGAGAGAGAGAAAGAGAGAGGGAGGGAAAGCGAGAGAAAAAGTATCGATTTCCTTTTGAAAAATATCGTACTATATCGTACTAGAATAGTCGTACTACGAATGAAATTTTCGAAGCGCAGTCAGGTACTGCGATGCGTTCACCGAAACGTTCGGTGTTTAGAAACGAAATTTGGGTTTGGAATTTTTCGATTTCGAATAGGAAAAATTTTTGCGAGATAAATGGAAATCGATCGGCGAGAGAACGGAAAGAGCGAGAACAGATCGCGAAGCAAGTCGACGAATTTTCACCGCTGACTCGTAGGCAATTTTGTTGGTAGTTTCGCGCAGCGCGTGCGAAAAATGGAACGAAAATAATGGAAAAGGAACGGCGTAACGAGAAAAAAGCGTCGCGAGGCGAAACGCGTGACCGAAAGAAAGAAGTAGCTTCTGAACCGAGAGAGCCTTGTGTTAAGTGCCTTCAGTACGACTTAGATTTTAGGATAGTCGAAGGAGAAAAAAGAAAAATAAGAGGCGCTGGGCGCATCCAGCTGTGAACGAATTTCTACGGTATTATTGGCCGAGTGTCATGCGCAGAGAACAAATCGAGCTAATACGTTCGATGAGGATTCTCTTCCTTCGATCGCGAATCAACGCACCGCGAGATACAGAAACCACGCGGATAGGAAGAGAAGCTCGTCGAAAGATGTTATACGAAAAAATATATACCGCTTAGGTAAACGGCACTCGGCGAACATCTTGAGACCAGTGATATTTTTTTAGAAATTATTTATTTACGCCGAACGAAGCAGAATTTAATCTCGATCACTCGCCTTTATACTGCCAATGTATCCGCTAAGACGTACTCATCTTCGTTGTCGATCCATATACATAGTGACCACCACCACTACCGCCACCACTACCGCCACCACCACCACCACCACTACATCCCTTACGCGTTACATTGTTCCTTTTTTCTTCGACTCCTGATAACCGCAATGTGATTCCCGCGTGTTTATCTTAAACTACAGCTCCTAGTTACACTCCTACACACGTTTCTCCCCATTTTTACGTTTATTGTTTTATTTTTTCTTCAATTTATCACCTCCTTTTCCGTCTTGTTTTTTCCCTATTTTTGTTTCGTTCTAGCAACGAGTAGAACGGTACTCGTGTTCCTTTATTGTCACAGTTCTTTCGTTCGTTCGTTCGTTCGTGTTTCATTAAAACAGTACAATTACCTGTAATAAATAATAGCGAATTTACCGCGAGCGGCACGAAGCCGCGCCTAGAAAAGAACCGGAGCGGGAGATCCCTTCGAGGCAGCAGCATCAGCATCGACAGCATTATCCCTCTTTTACGGAGGGAGAAACCGAGCGCCGTTTCTCTTCGGGCATCGAACGTCCATCCATTCAACGAGTTACGAGATGCTCCGACATAAAAGTATTATACAGTGCCTCCGATGAAATTCACCGTTCTCGAAGGGTATCTCGCGCTCCAGCTTAAGTACGATATTCTTATAATTAGTACAAGCACCACTATTGAACTGTATAGAGAGAGAGAGAGAGAGAGAGAGAGAGAGAGAGAGAGAGAGAGAGAGAGAGAGAGAGAGAGAGAGAGAGAGAGAGAGAGAGAGAGAGAGAGAGAGAGAGAGAGAGAGAGAGAGAGAGAGAGAGAGAGAGAGAGAGAGAGAGAGAGAGAGAGAGAGAGAGAGAGAGAGAGAGAGAGAGAGAGAGAGAGAGAGAGAGAGAGAGAGAGAGAGAGAGAGAGAGAGAGAGAGAGAGAGAGAGAGAGAGAGAGAGAGAGAGAGAGAGAGAGAGAGAGAGAGAGAGAGAGAGAGAGAGAGAGAGAGAGAGAGAGAGAGAGAGAGAGAGAGAGAGAGAGAGAGAGAGAGAGAGAGAGAGAGAGAGAGAGAGAGAGAGAGAGAGAGAGAGAGAGAGAGAGAGAAAGTGAGAAAGTGAGTGAGAGAGAGAAGAGAAAATGCGAGCGCGCGTGTGCGTGTGAGAAGAAAGAGTGCGCGTGAAAGATTGTACGCGTGTGCGAGAGGAAGAACAAAGAGCACGTAAAGACAAAAACTAATGCAACTATAACTTCCGCCTCAGCGCCTCGAACGCAAAACATATTTGTAATCGTACTTTCTTTGTCGCCATGTATTTGCCAACGAACGATGAATTATTATTATTACATCTTTTTGTCTCCATTTTATATTAATATTATTTAGAGCGCAATAACGATTAACGATTACGCTACGATGATAACGATATTCTTTCTAGATAATGTTTTTGCTTGTTCTCTTGCGACGAATCCGCACGCACGTCGAAAGAACCGCGTAGACGAAGGCGCGCGCGACTGCTCGTACGAACGCCGCGCGCGTCTTTTACCATTCGCGACGATAACGATAACGAAAACGAGACGCGACGTGACACAATAACGCGTCGCCGATTTTTTTTTCTTTTTTTTCCATTGGCTTTGTCGTATCGCGCGAGAAGAGTCGCTTGCTTGTCAAATTTGTAGAGCGATCGGTCGGGAGCCCGAGCGCGACGCCGTTTCTTCTTCGGATTCTCGACAGTATTTCAACGGATACGATTAATATCGATCGATTAAACGATGACCAACGCGAGCCACGCACGGTCGAGAAGAAACGCGACGCGATTCCGTCGACCAACCGATCGTTCGCTTTCTATTTTCTACACCACTGTGCTTTTTTTCATTTTTTTTTTTTTTGTACACGTATCGTTTCGACTTTTCGAACATTCCAAAATGCTTGTTTCCCTCCTTTTTTCTTTTTTTTTTGACAATTTGTAGAGAGCCTTGTATTCGATTTAGAGCAAAATAAAGTCTAGAAAGGCAAACAGTTTGCGTACAATTTCCCGTTCTTGGTTTCGTCGATCCGTTTTCAGCTGCTGTCTCGTGAATTACGAATCGACGGCGATGTCGTGGACACTCTGAAAGAGAAAAAAAGGATTTGCGCTGTTTCCGCATACTAATCGGTTTCGTTTTTCGCAGGTTTCGTCGCTCGAGAAGACGATTTTCAAGGAAAAAGAGGGGCAACAGTCGAACGACCGCGAAGGAATCTCGTTCGTCCGTGAAAATAATGGAGCAACAGCAGACGTTGTCCTCGTCGATTTAGAGACGCCTTTACTAATCGTCGCGTTGCTTGAATTTCAGGTTGGTTCCACGAAAAACGAACGGAGTAATGTCGGACGAGACATTAGGAAGGAAGAGTCGACGGCAACGCGTTCGAGTGTCACCGATCAAGAAACAAAATGTACGGCATTCTTTAGCCGCGAAAAAAGAAAGAAAAAACGAAAGAAAGGGAGGGAGGGAGAGGGAGAGAGAGAGAGAGAGAGAGAGGAAGAAAAAAGAAAGAGAGAAAGGAATAAAAGAGAGGGGAAGCATCTCGCGAAACATCATCAACGATCGCTCATAGCCGTAAAGTCATCTCGAGAAAATTCACGAGTCCCTCGAGAATCTCCTTTGCGAGGGAAGAACTCGCGAGGAGATTCTCCGCGAGTAGAACGTCCGAATGAGCCCCTTCGTTGATCCTCCTTCCCCTTGACATGCTCGTTGTTGCTAAGCTTGAGAACTTGAATGTTTTTCTTTTTATCGCATGGCCCGCGCCGTTGTAAAGAGCAATCGTGTAAAGAACGATCGACGCGTTTACGAAAAGAACGCAACGACTAATCGTCCCGTCGAAACCTCTGTTTCGATTGTTTTCAACCAACCGATCGTTCGCTTTCTATTTTCTACACCACTGTGCTTTTTTTCATTTTTTTTTTTTTTGTACACGTATCGTTTCGACTTTTCGAACATTCCAAAATGCTTGTTTCCCTCCTTTTTTCTTTTTTTTTTGACAATTTGTAGAGAGCCTTGTATTCGATTTAGAGCAAAATAAAGTCTAGAAAGGCAAACAGTTTGCGTACAATTTCCCGTTCTTGGTTTCGTCGATCCGTTTTCAGCTGCTGTCTCGTGAATTACGAATCGACGGCGATGTCGTGGACACTCTGAAAGAGAAAAAAAGGATTTGCGCTGTTTCCGCATACTAATCGGTTTCGTTTTTCGCAGGTTTCGTCGCTCGAGAAGACGATTTTCAAGGAAAAAGAGGGGCAACAGTCGAACGACCGCGAAGGAATCTCGTTCGTCCGTGAAAATAATGGAGCAACAGCAGACGTTGTCCTCGTCGATTTAGAGACGCCTTTACTAATCGTCGCGTTGCTTGAATTTCAGGTTGGTTCCACGAAAAACGAACGGAGTAATGTCGGACGAGACATTAGGAAGGAAGAGTCGACGGCAACGCGTTCGAGTGTCACCGATCAAGAAACAAAATGTACGGCATTCTTTAGCCGCGAAAAAAGAAAGAAAAAACGAAAGAAAGGGAGGGAGGGAGAGGGAGAGAGAGAGAGAGAGAGAGAGGAAGAAAAAAGAAAGAGAGAAAGGAATAAAAGAGAGGGGAAGCATCTCGCGAAACATCATCAACGATCGCTCATAGCCGTAAAGTCATCTCGAGAAAATTCACGAGTCCCTCGAGAATCTCCTTTGCGAGGGAAGAACTCGCGAGGAGATTCTCCGCGAGTAGAACGTCCGAATGAGCCCCTTCGTTGATCCTCCTTCCCCTTGACATGCTCGTTGTTGCTAAGCTTGAGAACTTGAATGTTTTTCTTTTTATCGCATGGCCCGCGCCGTTGTAAAGAGCAATCGTGTAAAGAACGATCGACGCGTTTACGAAAAGAACGCAACGACTAATCGTCCCGTCGAAACCTCTGTTTCGATTGTTTTCAGGTTTCTTCGCGAGCCTAGGCTGGAACTTGGATGGAAGCAGGCGCGGTTCGCGGCAATCCGCGAACGACGTGCCGGCGCCGCTGACGCCTCAAAGACGCGCGAGGCTTCACTGTTCTTCTCGTCATACCAGCAGAAACAACAACAACAATAACAGCAGCAGCAACAATAACAATAGATCGAGCAACGTATCCGTGTCCGTATCGGGACTGGATCGACGACACAATTGCTCGCGCTGCGGCAAAAGTTACAAGAACGCGTACATACTGAAGAGGCACTTGCTGTACGAGTGCGGCAAGGCGCCGTCTTTCAACTGCCCGCACTGCGCGTTCAGCTCTAAATACGAGAGAAATTTGAAGGCGCACATCAATCATCGGCACGTGGCCCCGCAATCGTCGCAGGGCAGTTCGGTTTCGGGCAGCGGCGCTTCGGGCACCGGCAGCATCGCCAGCACCGCCGCCACCGTTAATCAAAGGGCCTGAAATCAGCTCGCGGCACGAACGACCACCACCCTTCCTCGTAGGAACGTCGAATCTAAGAAATCCTCGTTATCTTAGATCGTCGCGAACGTTCGCGACCACTTGCTTTTCTCTTTGTCCGTCGCCGAACGGTCCTATCTTTTCTTTATTTCTCTTCACTTTCCTTTTCGTCTCCTCGTCCCCTCTTCCTTGCTTCTCGATCGTCGACGATCCAACGGTTCCCCTACGATCTTCCCTTCGTTTTCTCGACCGCTCGTTGTAATACCGGCAACTATCCGAACGGTAACGGCAAATACGTGTTCCTGGTTGACGTAGGTCGAAACAGCCGCACACACAAGTGACAATACGTTTCCGTCGTACGACTCGAGGAGAATTCGCTTCGTATCCGACGATAGAATAATAGAGCGAACGCGAAAAGACGGTTTCGTAGCTGCCTGTCGTCGAAGTAGAGGAATTAGCGTCTTCGCCGTGGCACGAAGCCGTTGTTGGATCCCGTTTGACGAATGTAGCGTAAAACAAAGCGAAACAAACGAAAAAGGTATTGTTGAATATTTTAGAGAGGCTCGACGAGAAGAGTGTCGGGAGAGGTCTGTTCCGGTCGATGATCGGTCGGCCGAGAGGAAGATACTTTCCCGGATGTTCTTCGAGCCTCTGACAGATTATCAAATTGCCCAATTATTTTTCTACTAATTATAAGGGAAAGCAAGAATTTCTGCGCGACCTATCGCGAAATGGACGACGTTCTCAAACGGCGCCAGAAATTCCGTTGTTCGTTGTTCGATTCGAAAATAGGTGCACACTCGATGATCGTGGTTACCGAACGGGAAACAGCGATAGCCGCGACGATCGAGTCGACGTGGATTTACCGAAACGATCGAAAGACGAGAGAAAATTCTCGGTGCAACGAAAAATCTCCGACGCTAATGATATCCCGATTCTAGCTCTCTAGCGTAGCGTAGCGTTTAAGTATCGTTGGAAAATTCTAGTCAAACGGATTCGTCGATATAATTTTGTCGAGTTTCGCGCGGCGCTTCGACGATTCCGATCGAGCGAACACGATCGTGCACGTAGTAGATGCCTTTTTTTTTCTTTTTTCTCGATAAGGAAAGCGCGAAAGTCGTTCTCGATCGTCGTCGTATTCGTCGACGCGATCGCGCGCGATCAAAGTTACGTTATTTTTGTCCAAGTTGCATTAGTCTGAGAATCTGCGAAGCGATCGAACGAATTTCGTTCCGATCCGTTCGACGACTTCGCGTCGATTCTTCTCGTTCCGTTTAGAGCCGTCTACTTTACGGACGGGCCTAAAGCGGGCTCTTACCTAATATAGGTTAATAGTCGAGATAGAGAATCTATTTAAATCAAAAAAAGTATATATATATATATATTGTATTGTATATAGAATATTATACATACATATATTATATAATAATAAGTTTAAGGATACGTCGTAAATTATATAAAGACGTAGGCGTTACGGTGGAAACGGAAACGCGTGTTTCCACGTAGTTTGGCCGGTCACCGACGAATCGATCGAATCGAACGTTTATCGCACGAGGATCTCTGTGATAATATTAGCAATTTAGTAACGTACGAATAAAACACGCTTCGCGATCGTTGGAAAGCTTGGAGCGACTCGAACGAGAAAAACGAAACGAGAACGAAAGAAGAAGAAGAGGAAGAAGAAACGTTTCGCGATCGCGCGTTTTCAGCAACGAGGACGATACGATCGATCCTCGCGGTCGTTTCGCGCGTTAAAAGAGCTTCCTTCGAGACCCAACGAATTCGAGAAAATCCTCGATCAAGGACCAAAGACTCGACGAAGGATTATTCCAAAACAAGATTCTAGTCAAATCGATGTTCGATCACGATTCCGTGAACCGGCCAATGGTAAACGAGAGAAGAAGCGTATCGACGATACGACGGAGGCATTGAATCTCGTATTTATTCTCTTAGAGTTAGAACTTTTCGCTTCCGTTGTCTTTCCTGTCCCGGTTCTTCTTCTGTCCGTCGCGTTACCCCTCCGCGCGAACGCGCGCCAGAGGTTCTTTCCCCTTTTCCGAGCTTACTCGCTCGCGAGGTAAGTTTTACCTCTCTAAGCATCTACCCGTAGTCTCTCTCTTAATCGTTACGAATCGTTCGATCGTAAATCTAAGCTACGTCTAGACTCGTTCTCTCTCGTTCGACTTAACCTCGTTCGTCCGTGTCTCGTGCGAAATCGCGATCGATTCACGATCGAAGAAATCGTACGAATATCGCCGACGCTTTCCTTCTTCGACCTCCGCGATCGCCGCACGATCGCTACCCGCCGCG